ATTTCCTATAATTCTTTTGATGGTTTCTGAACTATATTTTTTTTCTCATTTACAGTTTTCCTACATGTTTTGATAAGAAGCCTAACCTTAAAAAGTTATAAAATTAGTGATTTTTTTTTTTGCTGCTTTTTGATCCAAAAGAATATAAGCATTTGAGTGCCAGAGAATGTCGAAATGCCTCGCTGCCTAAAAGGATATTAAAATAACAGAAAGATCATCAAAGTCATAACATCAGAAATGGTGCAGCTTTTCACAGTCATTGAAATGCTTATTTCCTGAAGTTCCTTTGATTGTATCCTAGGTTCAATAATGTGCAAGTTATATAAAGAACCATTGCAATAAAGCCAACGCAAACAACATTGTCACTTTCTACCAAGAGCGTCCACAGTGGGTAATTAATGATTCTGTCCAGTTTACAGCAATACTTCATTTAAAGAGGCTTTTCACCCTCTTGTGGCTGGGTGGAGCAGAGTCTTTTCAGACGAAATGTACACAACAGCACAGGTTCCCCCGAGAGACCTGGAAGATGTTTCTCAGGGCGTGGAGGAAGCATGGTATTTCACAAATGCAATTGCTGCAAGCTCCTTACAGAACTCTTCTAATACAATCACACCCTCTAGCAATGTGATGTGGTCAACACTGGAAAAAGCAGACAACAAATCATGATCAGAGGGGATCGTTGAATTGGATGCAATTTTTATAAAAAAAAAAATATGTGAAACATTGACTCACATAGGGCCGTCGGGTTCCAAACCAAGCAATCGTTTTCTGACTAGTAGAAGCTTGGGAGTGAAGTCTTGAATGCGCTGAATTCGAACCATAAGGTCTCCAACAACCTGCACCAGAAACAAGGGGTTCAGTTCCTGAAGTAACTACAAAGGAATTCTTAGAAACAATCCACCTCAAACCCCATCACTGAAGAACCCCAACTGCCAATGGTGCTTGTCTATTCTTCAGAATATATTAGTTAGGGCTAGAGACATGACTCAGCAGGCAGAGTGTTTGCTGTGCAGGCATGGGGACCTGAGTTTGGACCCCCAGCACCCACAGAGAAGCTGGGAGCAGGGTGTATGTCTGTAATTCTAGTGCAGGGAGTAGAGACAGGCAGATCCTGAGGGCTCACGGCCAGCCAGCCTAACTGAAATGATAAGCTGCGGGCTCAGTAAAGACCCTGTCTCAAAAAATAAGGCAGAGAGTGATGAAATAAGACACTGATCTCTGACTTATACAGGCACACACATGGGCAAGCACACCTGCACACATGTGCACACACATATACACGTAAGTTACTTAAATGAATCCCCCTCAACTCTGTAATAGCCCAGAATATACAGTGATTACCTTTAAGCAACAGATACATATATTTTTTCATTATGTTAGGCTAACTACACACAATGATATGAGGATGCTAATGAGACAGGTTTATTGATCCCAGAGGAGAGAACAGAACTGAACTTACCCTGACGATCACAGAGAAGAGGGACCTACAGCCAGAGGCCAGGTTCACATAGGGATCCAAAAGGTACTCATGTGTGTGTGGATGAGGGAAGAGGGACAGTCTTGACAGAACGGAGGTCACCTGTAGATTCACATCGTATGGCTGTACAGAAGCAAGAATAGAAAGAGCCAACATGACTTAAAATATACATAGCCTGTGCTTGGTGGACACTTCAGCTTCTCAAGGATGGGAAACCCACTGTCCTGCTCTTCCTGCCACATACTTTTGTAAGGAAAACACTGACTACTAAATAGCTCTCACCATGGAAGTCAAGGCACCTATGGTACAGCCCTGAAACTTGAAAACAGGCATAGAAACATACTGAAAGACAAAGCTGTGAGAGAGCAGGATGTCTGTTTCATGTGAGTTGATTTAGTGAACCAGTACAACAGGTCATCAAAACTCACCCATGTGCCAGATAAAGTATTAACTACAAACCACAGAGGATACATTAACCTGAAGTCCTTAGCAAAGAGAAAGTATTTCAGCTTTTTAAAGTGTATTTTAATTTTAGGGCTAGTTCTCCCCATAACAACATCTGGGTGTAGTTCCTTAGACATCTTTTATATGTAATATCACAATATGTATTCCTGAACTCTAGCTATTTACTGTTGTTTATTACACAATGCTGATGGCAGAGCTTTATAAAGTCTGTCAACATCAGAGGGGACGGAACACGGGACACAAAGGCCTCCTGTGACTTCCTTAGAGCAGGAACCCCTCACCCCTTCCAGTTTTCTTCTCTCCAAGCAACCAAAGGGAACTTATGGGCTAACTACCCAAACAAAGCTAACTACCTGGATGAGAAGCTGGGTAGATGAGGTACACAGGCAGCCTGGGGAGGGAGGGCGACTCAGGGCCACAGGGGGTGAACCCAAGAAGCACAATGAATACCAATCACAGGGAGTCTCTGGGGGGAGGATGGTTGGACACACGTTAAAAGGTGGCAGACACGCTGAGGGACACAGTTTTTTGTTTGTTTTCATATTTTGACACAAGGCACAAAATACTCAACTCCTAGGTGCTAAGTTTAATTATAGTTTTTCCTACTTACTATGAGATTCATAATACAGACTTTCTGACTTTTTCAAAATCTTGCCTTAAGCAAGACAGGCAAATGGAAATCTGGAGTCCTAACCAAGGAGAAGAGTCTAAGTATATTCTCCTACTTGGAAATGACTGCAACAGAACCAACTCGGAGTAAACAGGGATTCTCATTCAATTAAATTTTACACACAAAGAACCATTTTTAAGAATGGATTTTTAAAATGGACAAAACTGGACAAAATAAAACTATGACTAGGCATTTGGTAAACAATGTATACAAAATAATTTAAACATGACTCAAATCTAGAATTGTACATGGCTCTTTGTATTTCAGGTGTTTACAACTTCTAGTTAGATACACAGCTCAGTAGCAGAGTGCCTGCCTATCTGCCATGCATAGGCCCTATAGTTAATCTCCAGTATGTCAAAATTAATTATTAATAATAATATAAAGTATTTATTCTTATTTTTACTTCAAAAAATCCTGCCTCTTGCAGGTGCTTAAATCAGTACACACACAAAGTTCTCCTGCTAGTCTCACTGTTCAATTTCTGTTATGGTGCTGCTTTGTTTATAACTTAATTTAGCCATGGGGTAAGAAATTTAAAACTGACACTATTTTGTTTGTGGTACTGGGAATCAAACCCAGAGCCTACACATACTAGGCAAGAGCTTACCACTGAACTACATCTTTAGCCCACATTACATCTTAATGTTATGAAAATGAAGATAAGTTTCTGCAAAATAGCAATCTTTAAGCATTTTACTGTGGGGAAAAAGGATCATGAGTGGGAAGCTCTGGTCACCTTGAGCCTATTAGGGGTGCACCCCAAGAAAATACAGGTAAACACTATCCTCAGCAAAAACAGTAAGGAAAGAAAAAGAAAACAAACCAAACACACCAAGCACCCGAGGACTTGTAGCATCTCTGCGATCAGACCACATAGTGTTCCTATCAAAAGGCTTAGGAAAAAAAAAAAAAAAAAAAATCAAGGACTTTTTTTTTGTTTTCCTTTATGGCTTTCTGAGACAGGGTCTCCCTGTAGCCCCAGCTGGCCTGGAACTTGCTATGTGTACAAGGCTGGCCTTGAACTCACAAAGATCTGCCTGCCTCTGCCTCCCAAGTGGAATTAAAGGTGTACGCCACCATGCCCAGTAAAAAATCAAGAATTTTAAAGTACAAAATGTTTCATACTAGGCTTCAGAGCTTACTACCTGTAAGTCTTACCGCTGAAACAAAGGATTCCCCACTTATAAAATAATACTTGGAAGGACAGGCGTGGTAGTGCACGCCTTTAATTCTAGCACTTGGGAGTTCCAGGCCAGAAAAAAAATAATACTTGGAATCTGTCTGTCCTGCCTATGATAGAAGGCTGGAGGAAGAATGACTGAGCCAGGGGAGGCATCACTCCGGCCATGATGCGCTGTGTGATGAGGGCATTTTGTCTCTGATGCAGCCCACAGTATTGGCACTCTACAGACTAAAGGGAAAACAAGTGTGGTGATGATTACGAATGGACTTTCAATTCCATTTAGAACCAGTTTTTAAAGTTTAGAATCCTTTTTAGTGTTGGTTGAAGTTTCCAAAGATGACTCACTTGATGTTAACTGCTAAACTCCCTAGTTTATTAACCTAATCAGATTCAAGCTGCACCCCTTCCCTCCCAAACCAGCACAAAATCCACAATCAACTGATGAATTCCAGATACCCAGGAGATTTACAAGGCTGCGGCATGGACCACAGTAAACCAGACGTGTACACTTGGCTGTCAGGTTTAAAATAAACAGCTAAATGCCAGAAATACAAGATTAAATAAAGGACTTGGTCTCTATTGATATTTGTCTAAAGCAGTCCTGTCTGAAGATTAGCCCACTGATACACTTCTTAAATTCTAATTTCTTTATTTGACTTTCTGGTTACTAAAGAAAACCTGCTTATGGAGCAAACTTCTTTTATTATGCCCTGTGCCCACATAAATATTTAACTAAAAAGTTAAAGAAAAAAAAAAAGAGCAAGTACTTTAATATAGAAATGTTTCGTTCCCTACTGGTAAAGACAGTTTCTATGTTGAGGCAAGTACTGAGCCAGCTGTTTTCCTTCAAAAGCGTATCCCCCTGTGTAGAGGATTTCAAGCTCTCATCACTGTCAATGAAGGAAAGAATTTTATCATCCAAACTCATTTCTCCTGACAATTGATGATTCACAGATCAGCTGATGGCGATTTGAAAAACAAATGAACAATTTTTTAATTTAAAAATTTCCCCTTTCCCTTATGAAGACAGGTCTCATTCACATTCATTGAAGAAGCAAGTTCATCATTTTAATGAGACCAGGGGGTTTATAGTTCTTGCAATAACACCTGTGAGCTTCCAAATTAAGCTTATTCCATCCATCTGTAACTAACCAACTGTACTACCTGAAAGGCTTTGAGTTAGTCATAAAGGAAAGCACTCTCTTCACACGCAAAACCACAGCCCATCGTGGGATGCAAGGTACAGGACTCTGAAAGAGCAGTCAAATAAACATGCTTCCCTTGCTCAACACAGTAGAAGCCAGCGGCCACTGGCGATCCAGACCTAAGGATGAGATGTGCAGTGGAACAAGTAGGAAAAGACAAATGGAGACGGAGATTATACCATGGAGAACGGTCACAAAGTATGGAAATTAGTATCTTAGAATGCATTACCTGATCGAGAATTCTTCCCATTCTGTCAAATAAAACTTTCAAAAAGTGACCTTCAAAGAAGGCTGCTTCTAAATTACACTTTTCCAGTGCTTTTGGAGACCCGGGCCACTCCCATCTTAAGCAAATAGCACAGTAGTCCCGGAACTAGGGAAGAAAAAGCATTTGGATCATTAAGGAACTACTGAGAGACAAAAGTAAGAGGAAACCAAAATGATTCCCTTAAATAACCTGACACTTGACTGTCAGCTACATGGGAAGTGCCAGGGCAATGTGGGAATGACACAGCTCTTAAGAAGCCCAGGGAGCATTACAATGGCCAAGGGCCAATGTAAGTTGGTGAGAAAGAGGCATATTTGACTTCAGTAAGGCACTCCTTCAGTAAATATTTACGTTCTTTCTTTAAAGGACTGAACTCAGTACCATCATGTGAGATTTGGAGCATGTTGAAAGCTAAAGATTTCAATGTGTTCTAAGGTGTTGCAAACAATGGATTCTTGATGCCTGTTACCAATCAAGTTTGCAGTTCCTAGAACATACTGACACTGGGCACACTGTCATGAGAGGCTGGACAGTGCTATTCAAAGGATGGTCACAGGCCACTGCTGATGCCCGAGCTCCTGTGACCATCATCCAATGTAATGAATGCAAAAGTAGGAGCCAGCACTTCCAGCTTTCACAGTAATCTGGGAATGTTCGCATTGTAGAATCTAACAATGCATAATTGGGACTCAGATTTTAGCTTTTGGTTTTCATTTTCCTAGTAATTCTTTTTTAAAATGTGTTTAACGAAAGTGTTAGGAAATGACAGACTAGAAATAATAAAAACTATTCCTTGAGAGTTGAGTAATGGTGATACATCTCTATAATCCCAGCAGTTGGGAAGATCAAGGCCATAAATTAGTTTGAGGCCAGCCTGGCTACACGAGACCCTGACTCACAAAACCCCAAAACACCCCCCCGCCCCCATCAAAAAACCCAACTAGCACCAGCATGGCAGAAGTCTCATCCACAAGGAGAGCTGACTCATTTCTTTGGCATAATGGCTGTTTGAGCAACGTGACAAGGAATGTGCATGAGCATTCTTGAGACTTTTTTTCCTCTCCCAGATGAGTCAGTTCTATCACGTACCTGCCTGTGAGCGTCTCGGAGGTAGGTGTCATATCCAGTGCCCTCAACATGGTAGGATGACTTTGCTTCATCTGGTACCAGACAGAGAAAACTTAAAGGAAAAAGGCCACAATCAATCACAGAATATCCTCATACTTCAATATTTTTATATACTAAAGTACCTGACACTGTAAATTTAACCAACTACCGATATAAAAGCTCAAAAAATAAGGTCTTTATCTGAACCAGCCTTATAAATTTACTGATTAAATACTATTTCATTTATTGAAAAGGTTTATATCATTTTAAAATGTATTTTTGAGATTCCCAGGTGTGCGGGCACTTTTCCTGGAGGTACTACAACACAAGGTTGACGTATGAGTGCATGGAGCAAGCTCTTATTCCATCTCCAAGCTCTAAAAATCCATTTAATAGTTTTTAGTTAGAGGACGGATCAGCTACGAACAGATACTACCCTTGATCTTAGCCAAAAGGCTGAGAAACAGCTTTAAAACTTAATTTTTTATGTAATCCAAGAAAGCCTAAAAAAGACTCCTTAAAACTTTAGACTGCTATACAGTAACAGATTGCTATGGTATTTATTAATTTCAGAAACTGGTTTTAAGCAATTGAATGTGAGATATTTTTATGTATCATAATTTCTCATTTCAGCCAGATGCCATTTTTTTAATGTCACCTCCCAGAACCAGGCCCATCGGTGACCACACTGAAAGGGGAGATAAAAGAGAAAACTGCCATAGGCACTTAAAAAAGTAAAAACACAAACTGGCAATTGCCAATGTTGCTACAATTGGGAATTATTTAAAATTAAATCATTTGTTTTTTTAAAAAAGATTGGTGCACTTAACCACTATTTGTTTCTCAATTGTTTTTATTTCTTTGCATTGCTAAGGATTGATCTCGGAGGCTTTATGCATACTAGGTAAGTGTTCCACCACTGAGCTGAAATAGAAAATTGCTTTCCTATAAAGTGGAGCTTTTCCCTTGGTATCAAATGTTGCCCTGGCCAGTCACTGGCTATGAAGACAAAAAAGCTGACATCATCTATGAAGATTGAGTTCATAGTGCATTTCTGTTAACAGCTTAAGTGTAGAACTACTGTACATCAAGACAAGCCAGAGAGCTGCAAGGTGAATCACAGAGAACCTCACCTGTTTACAATTTTATGGACTTCTGTCTTCCCGTCGTTTTTGGGGTGGTCTGGACTCGCACGAGGTGGAGAACTAAGCCACTCTTGGTTAGACAAGGTGTTATCTGGTGAAATGTCAGTAAATAATGGATCTTCTTCCAGATCTCTAAGTTTAATTTAATGATGTATAAAAAACAACATTTATTATGACATTTCTAAACCAAAAGATTCTCTGCTAGTTTCTGGGAAATATTATGTAATTTTTTAATATAAAGAAATAAAGGATAGTATATTTAATAATCAAATTATCATTTTATGTTAACAATCTCAAAGCTCTATTAGTTTTGTTAATAGGCTTAAGGACCACTGAGCCTGTCTTGGGATTTAAAAGGAGGGCAGCTAAAGGATGAGAGAACTGGGTGGAGAAAGTTCTGGCTCTACAAGCACTGAGCAGCTGGATGGAAACTTACACAGCTCCTGCTATCAGGCCATTCTCTACCACATCTCTGTCTTCGGGGCACAGAGGTTTGTATTCTGTATAATTTCTCTCTTCAAGATTCCTCAGGACCAGGTTGTAGAGAACGTGCTCATTGGGTTTTTGTAGCAGATGTTCAAACATTCTCAGCGTCATTATGCTTATCTGAACAAGATTGAGAAAGGCTGAGTGAAAACCCTCTTCTCTAGGTTGTTCTTGTCATCTTGGAAGTCAGGCTGCAATTCTTAAAGCCACATAAGAAACACGCAGGGGCAGGTGAGATGACTCTGCAGGTAAAGATGCCTGCCGCCAAGCCTAGTGAGCCGAGTTCTATCCCTGGGACTGACATGCTAGAGGCAGAAAACCCACTTCTGCCAGATGTCCTCTGATCCTCCACACATGCACTGTGATACGTGCATGCCTCCCCCTCCCCAACACACACACACACACACACACACACACACACACACAATAACACATTACATTAAAAATCAGCATTTCAAAGACTCCAAGGCCAATGCTGTCCATTGTGTGACTCACCTCATCAGATATGTGGTCACAGTGCTCAATTAACCTGTGTCTTAAAGGATGCCTGCTTATTTCTGCTAGCGTTTCAGGTTCCCTCTGTTCTCCAAGGATAAAGACTACGATTTCTTGAAGCAAAACCTCCGAGGTCACCTGTCGAACGATGCGATGCAGTAGAGCGGTGGATGTCAGAATCCCCATCTCCGAGCTAGGCACAGCAGACAGGTCATCAGTGGGCAGAAAGGACGGAAATGGGATTGCATCTTTATTTTTAAGGAAAGAGGGCACTCACGTCTGCATTAACTGAGGTTCCATGACACCAATGAAGAACCTTTCATGAACAGCTTTGGCAAGAGCAACAGCAGCAGTCTAGAAAACAGCATGAGTATCAACGAAGCCACTTGCACGCATCTGAATTCATGCAAAACATAAAATTGACCTGAGTACCGTGAACCCAGACTAGGTGTCAGCTGCTTGGTTACTTGCTCCCAAACCCCTGTCCCCAAGACTAAGAGGGATGGGGCAAAAAATTTTATCCCAACAACCTTAGAGCACTTCACAAAGAGAACCGGAGGCAAGCCATCATGGCAAGTCAGTGTTCATAAAGTACTGCACATAACAATGAAGACACAAGTAATATGTCTGTGGGGAGATACACGGGGACTCAAATTGTACTTAGCACATTCAAAAATATCAATAAACAAAAAGTTCAAACCTTTTGTGCTTCCTTAATGAGTTGGTCACAATAATCGAACCAGGAAAGAAATGAAATTAAGGCTCGTTTCCCTGGGAATGCCGAAGCATCTTCCTTGTGACTATAGGAGTCCAACCTGCGGGACACGGAGGAAATGCTAAGGCAAAAGCAGGCGCCAGCCCTCTATGGGCCACGCGGAAAGGACCGCATGTGAATGCCACACTCAGTACATGTGCATGACACATTCACAGAGCAACCTGAATGACAGTCAGAAGAGGATTTATAAAAGAAAGCCAACATAAGAGAAACTCAAACAACAGCTATAAATCTTTTTGACTCCTTAAGGGGAGAGAGACTAAGGCAGATGGAGCAGCAGGAGAAAACCATTTGGAGCGTTCCTCAAGCTCCGGCCATAAATCTGAGCAGGTCAAAGGCAACAAAGGGGCGGAGCTTCTCAGCTGCCACATGCGGAAAAAGGGGAAACGGAAAGTATCCCCATGCCCTTCCTGCCCGACAGGGAAGCAAAAAATGGTACAGAAAAACAAAAACTAAAGAAAGTTAAACTTTTGGGGAAAAACGGTAAAAGGTAATTATGCCAAAATACTTGGCTGCTGGTAGGTGGTAAGTTTATCAGCAGTTTTTCATGTTGCTTTTATTTTTTGATAACATGAATGTTATACGAAAGTCATATTTTCTTTAAGGAATTTTAAAAAGATTTTAATTACATGTCTTATGTGTGGGAATGCATGCACTCATGCAGGCTCCCATGGAAGCTAGGAGAGGGCGCTGAATCCCTGGAGCTGGAATTAGAGGTGGTTGCAAGCTGCCCCCCAGATGTGGGTCCTAGGAACCAAATTTGGGTCCTCTGCAAGTACAGTGTGTGTTCATAACTGCTCTGCCATCTCTCTAGCCCACAGTCCTATTTCTAAAGAGAATCCAGGGGAAGAGTTGGAACAGGTGTTGAGGGAGTGAAAGTATCAAAGCAGGTGCGTCCACAGAGCAGGCCACATCCAAGACTGCGCTAGAGCACATGCAAGTTATTTATTAAAAAAGCGGCCCCTCTTTTACTGTTTCTGTTGTTAAAAAAAACAAACAACAACAAAAAAACAATGAAAGCTACTGATCTTAGTGTGAGCCCTACACAAATAAAAGTAGCTCAACTCTGTAGCCAATGGAGTGTTCCCATACCAATTTGTTACTAATGATTAATACATTTAATACAAGCTTCAAGAAAATATTAAATTTAATGATCACTAGTAGTGTTAAATTTTCCAAAGTAAAGATTTTTGCCACTGTAAAACACAAGTGGATGTTGAGATGTGTGTAAGAAGTCACCTTTATGGGAAAATACAAATGGTGCATACCCCCAGTTAATTGCTTCCACGGTTTCAATATCTAAGGGATCCACTGATTGAGGTAGGGCCTTGTACAGCGAGGCAAGTCTGTCCGTCAGCAGTTCGCACAAGCAAGTGCTCTGAGTAAGGCACTTGGCGGCCGCAGGCTCTGGCAGACTCACTAACAGCATCAAGCCCTCGCACGCTTTCACGGCTATGCGGCCATCCTGAGGGCGAAAGAACATCCATGTCAAGCTTTTTGTGGAAATTCAACATAAAAGGATCTAGAGTTCTACATTAAAGGAATAGATCTTTTTTTTTTTTTAAACTTTTAATGCCTATTATTGTGATCATGTTGGGGAAAAGTAAGATGACTTACAGGACTTCTGGTAAGATTTAACAGAGAATTCACTAAGTTATAATCCTGGTTTGGACGAATGACAGAGGCCTCTGGCAGGCAAGTGACATTGAGGTCATCCAGGTTTGTAGACAGCGCATCCATCTGCTGAGCAGGCTCGTCCTCTGACTCTGTGTGCTCCACCCCAGCAGCACCCAACAGCTCCTCGGGCTGCCGGGGCTGGCCTGTGTCAGTTGACAAGGAATCCCGAGCTTTCAGGATGTCTTCTGAAATTACATTCAGTGTTCCTTTGGAGGCCAAGAACTTCGACTTGTTCTGAAAAGCAGTATGTGTTTGTGAGGGTCACATTAAGAACAGAAATCACATTTTAATGGACCTCCCTCCTTCCCTTCCTTTCTCTGGTGTGGTGCTGGGTTGAAACCCAGGGCCTAATCATGCTAGGCAAGCTTTTTACCACTGAGTTATAAAAATCTAATCGATTTTTTAGGGTGGTGGTGGTGGTATCAGAGCTTGAATCCAGGGCATCAAACATTCTTGACAAGTGCTGTACCACTGAGCTACATACATTTCCAATCATTACTAAGTTGTTCAGGCTAGCCTTGTCATTATGTAGCCCAGGCAGGCCCAGAAATTGCAATCTTTCTCCTTCAGCCTCCTGCATAGCTGGGACTACAGATCTGTATCACCTGGCCCAGTTTGGATTTTCTCATAATTAACATTCTATATGCCTAACTAAAATAGCAAAAAGTGTTATGTCAAATGAAAATATTCAGACTTATACCAAATCATGTTTTGGATATAATATTACAGTTTCATGGAACTAAATAACTCTTTATACTAATTATACACTGACTGCAATAAATATTAGAGATAATGTTTTGACTACTACTGAAAACAACCACTATTAACAAGAGAAAAGTTTCATTTGCAAATAATTCTTTTTGAGACAAGGTACTTGTAGCCCCAGCTACCCTAGAACTTGATATGTAGGCCAGGATGGCCTCCATCTCACAGAGATCCACCTGCTTCTGCTTCTTGAGTGCTGGAATTAAAAGTGTGTGTCACCATGCCTGGTGCAGTTAATTTTTAAATCACGAGGCTATTACAAATACATCCCCTCAGTATTCATTCTATTAAGATCATGGGGGAGGGGTGAAAATTTACAAACAAAAATACTTGAAAATTCAAAAGCCATCGGCATTAGACTCGAGATTTCCACAAAAGTCTTCAACTTTTAAAAATATGTAAGAACTTTTTTTAAGTTATTTTCTTGATTTCTGCTCTTTGAAACTACCTTGGGGACATTTTTATTTGTGTTTGAGCATAAGATTTGATTGCTTGATCCCAACAGCCAAACGCAGAGAATCTTAACTGAAGCAAACGACTAGCTTCAAGGCAAAAATGTTTTACTTTCCATTTGAACATAAGAACAAAGATCAAATTACCCACACAAGTTGAAGTTCACCCTAAACCAGCCTCTCCAAGGGGCCTGCCCCTGTGCTTAGCTCATCATAGAAGCACATGAAAGGTTGAATTAATCAAGGTCCTACTTCCAAAGTCATAGTACGGCAATTATAAATCATCTTCATTGCTGTGTAAGTATCACTTAGACTAATCTTTGTAAGATGTATGTGCTCATGGCACACATTCTAGAAGAAAACAGCTCTATGAAGCTCAGTAGTGCTGTGAGCAATTTGCCAAATCCCTACAAAATCAATAGCACATAATACTTCACAAAAGCACATTTGGGCTGGTGGGATGGCGCAGCAGGAAAAGGCATCTGCCGCCAAGTCTGATGATCTGAGTTCAATCCTGGGGACCAACATGGTGGAAGGAGAGAACGGACTCTCACAAGTTGACCACTGACGTCCACACAAGTACCTTGGCACATGTACACACACACACACACACACACACACACGCACATGCACACACACATGCACAAAATAAATATTTAAAAAGACAGCACAAATTGTTCTTCCTCTAAATTTCTTTTTTTCTTTCTTTTTTTTGGTCTTTTTGAGACAGGGTCTCCCTGTAGCCCCAGTTGGCCTGGAACTTACTATGCAGACAAGGCTGGCCTTGAACTCACAGAGATCCGCCTGCCTCTGCCTCCCCAGTGCTGGGATTAAAGGTGTGCACCACCATGCCCAGCAATTTCTTATAATACTGTTGGAAGAGGTGTCACAAATAGGTATACTGGGAGGAAAAACTGCTCCTTGGGCCAATGCTTCTCAAAATGTGACCTGACACTGATGACATGCTGGTCTTCTGTGAGCCAGATAAGAAAACAGACTCCAGGGTCTGCACTGCTGAACCTGAACACTGGAGGTAGAGCCAAGGGATCTTTGTTTAGAAAAGCTCAGTAGATAGAGAACCCCTGCCATGCATTCACACTTTGCTCCCACTAACATGTTCCCCTTTTCTCTTGAGGGCTGGATCTCACTGGTCCTAGAACACACTGGTGCAGAAAACTCCTCAATCTGTCAACCCCAGGCTTCTCTTTCAAATCACGTATCACTGATACCAAATATCAGCTCGTTACCTCCATTAGGGCATCAGGACAACTCAAAGTATCCAGAACCAAAATATCTTCTCTTCCAAACAGCTTCCTGAGGCGCCCCTCCTCTCCTCCAGCTGCAAACTCACCAGTTCAGGATTTCAAGCATTTGAATGGCCATTCCCTGCATTCTGTACAGACCAGTTCCACAATACACAGAGCCTCCCTCCTGCTCCTATAGGGAAAGCCACCTCATCTGAATCCACTTCTGTGTCCGTTCTAGCCATGACCCTTGTTAGGTGTTTGTATTGCTCTGTCAGCTCAAGCAGCTTCCCTACCTCTCTCTCTCCTCCTAAAGGAGTCCACTGTATAAACACTGCCCCAAGTTTCACTTATAAAGGCACAGACTCGACCATGTGATAACATCCCTGCTCAAATTCCTGAGGCCAAAATCTTTCCTGGAGGGATGCAGACCCTAGGAGAAAGCCTGAGAGCATCTGATCCTCATCTGACTTGGGCCACTGTGGGAACTCCTGAAGACAAAAGCAATCTGGCCATTCCAATATAAAATCAAAAGAGAAAACCTGAAGCCGAAAAAAACAGAAGCTTACAGGAACCAGCTTTTTATGACCAAAGTAAATGACAAAGACACATAAAGTTCACAAAAAGAAGCAGACATAAATTTGAAGGCTTGGGTCTCACACAAACTACAAAAGAAATTCACATGTCAAAATCACAAAGAAAAAATAATAACACAAAAAAAACAAAATAACATATCACCACCAAATACCAATAGTCCTCTAGAGGAGCACAATGAGAATCCCCTAGAGACAATGCAGGACATGGAACTCAAA